ACTTATAGTACCAGTAGCCTGGTTCCTATTATTCTTATCATTGGTATTATTAGTGTTAGAAGTAGCTTTAGTAGTGTTAGGAGTAGCAGTCGTAGCACTAGAAGTACGAAACGGTAGCAGTAGCAGCAGCAACAGCGTTGGTTTTAGCAAAAGAGTTGGTGGTGTTCACGGTAGAAGCAGCAGGAGGAGTAGTAGAAGCAATCCTCATCATCGTCGTGGATGCTACGGCTACTGTTGTTGGATGGCTAGAAGGACTGCTCATCATATTTTCGTTCTAGTACATGGCAGCAATGCTGCTGCTGGTGTTATAGGTGCTGGTTAGCACTACTGCGAGTCGAGGTCGTCCATGCAAGATTGCAAAAACCGAAAAGCGATCACCATCATGAAGCTGGCGACCGCGCACCCACTCCACGAAAGCAAACATAGCTGTCCCGTACATACAAGAAATTGTTCTATTTTCTAGGTTAACATCTCGGAGCAAAAACGCATGGCGAAGCCGTGGAGCACCGTGCCCACCATTAATTTTGATGCAATAACCCCGACTGGCAAGCTCATTGGCAGACATCAAGCCATAGTTAACATAGGTCTATTCATGGTAGTCGTATGGGTCTGAGTTTCCCCGAGGCCATTGTCGTAGTCGTCATTGTAGTGGCAGCTCGTGAAATTCAAATATCATTATTGTAGTGTTATCTCATGAATGCTTGTAATCCGTCGGCTTCAGATCTGGCATGTTGCTGTGGGTGCAGCTTCCTCCTAGTTTTTGACATCCTTGCCTGAAGCTTCCCATGGATTTGCACTCCAAATGTATTTTTGAATCTAGATCTTGACACGTCATGCCGAAAGTCTTCAGCGGTGCTCTTCCACTTAAGAATGACAGACCATCACAGATGTAAGGCATGATGCCCCAAACCGTTCAGCCTGAACTTTGGCCTTCCAACCAGGATCTACTGTCTGTTCTCCTACAAGATCGCGAGTCGTGGATTCACATACTAGGCCGAAGGGCAGGTTCCTTTGAATTATCCAGATTGGACACGGGATGAGTGTAAAGGTGTTTTTGCGGGTCAAATATCAGCAGGATCCCAACTTTGACATATTTTCATGAACAGGCGTCATGCGATTTATTCGCATCGGACGGCTGGTTCGCCTACTACGCTTCGTTCGACTGCTTCGAGGCTAAGCTTGACACAGGATTGCTTTGTATATCATTCAGGTCTTGTGTGGGAGCTTCTGCAAACAACTTTGGGGCCATCCGAATTCACCCACGGCAGACCCGAGCACAATTCTGTTTCAAGTAATCATAACGGCGGTGGCCGAAATTTTGCATCACCCCTTGGAAGATTGCGGTGCTTTTGCTCACGAGCCTGGAATTACATACTCAACTTGGAAGCTCTGAAAACCTCAAAGTCTGGTTTTTGAACGGTTTCTGCTCTCTCTCTCTATCTCTCTCTCTCTGTAGACATTTTGCAGAGGCTGATTTAGTCAAAGTTCTTCCGGAGGACCCCCCCACCCGCCTTCGCAAGCATGGATTCGGGTCCGTCTAACCTTTGTGCTCCGTGTCCCTGCGAGCCTTCATGCCAACGATTTCCGGTTAAAGTTGAGGTATCAAGCCAAGGATGGTAATCAGCCGGACTTGTGAAGGCCACCTCTGGAGGCTTGAGGTAGCATTCTGGAAGGGCTATGACGGGTTTAAAGGCAGAAGTAATCATCTTGCTGGACTGCCTAAGCTCTTAGAACACAAGTAATCAAAATGAACAGGTGGGCAGGGGCTTGTTCGGTGTACTACTTATGACTACTTGACATAAGATTTGGGGCTGGCCACCAAAATGTGCACGGGACTGCGGCCGCGAAAGGATGCGGAAGGTCCGTGGAAGGGGATGGCTGCGCAGAAGGCTCGCGGAAGCTGCTCCGAAAACAGAGTGCCGAGTACAGTTCTTTTAGAAAGAAGCATCATGAGGAATCCCAGGCAGCAGATAAGCCTCTGCGCGTGGACACAATGATGATATGATGGTCGTCTCGGCGGAAGGGTTTCGCGGAAGGGCGTGTTACGTCAAAAGGGTTGAAATAGGAATAGAAACTACCACTCAGGTATGCAGACTGTCCAGACTCTTTCTGAGCAGGGAGTTTTTTTCAACAGGGTTGGTTTTCAAACGAAATACAACGGCTATGGGTATTTGGAAAATGTAGCCTTGAATACGCGTATCTATCTTAATGACAAGTTTGATCGTGCAGGATGGACTTGTGATGTTGACATTGATGTAGAAGATGAAAGCCTCATGTTCCCCTGGCGTGCTTCTTGCGTTCAGAGGCCCGTGATGTGCCAAGCCTTGCCGATGGTGCTCCTGTGGCTCGCCTGTGGCATGCCCGTGACGTGCACTGGGGCGAGCGCGTAGCGCGTGCGTTGCATGACCATTGTGTAGTTGTGGCGCGCGCGAGAGCCGAATATCCCCGCGCCCGTCTGCAGGGGTGTGCCCAGGTGCCTGTGTGCTTGTGCACCGGTGTGGCTTTCAACCTCTGTGCCTGGTATGCCAGTACTTGGCCTATGAAAGGGACAACTGGTGTAGAGTATTTTCTTGAACATGGGTTTGCTTTTTAAGTGTCTCGTTCATGTCTCACGCAAAAAGAACACTCCAAACGCTTAGCCTGTTCTCATCCACTATAGGCGACTTGCAACTTCAATCTTGATTAGCCTGACATTCTTCGATTTCATTTCTGATGAAGCCAAGGAATCTTGAAGCTGACACAAATAGTGGAGTCCCTCATGCTGCGCGGCTTTGTGAGCGCCCCGACGGAAAGAAAGCAGAGGCAGCAGAATTAAATGCTGAATGCTGGTTAAAGCCGCAGTACTAGTGTTCGTTTCGCCTTTATTGATGGTCTGGCTGTGGGCAGGCTCCCAGAATGTGTTGGAGGTCAGTTGCAGCTGCAGCTCTTGTCTGGGTTCTACACGAGCAACAGAGAACACAACGGTGCAGGGCATGATAAACCTTTGCAGTCGTCTTGTGAAAGCTTATTCTGTCACTGCAGCTGCTGTTCTCCCTCCCCCCTTGCTACTACTGCTAGTGCTGGTACTACTACAGTTGCAGCAGCAGCACCAGCAGCAGGAGGAGGAGGAGGAGTAGTAGTAGTAGTAGGAGTCGTCATAGTAGTAGTAGAGCAGTAGGAGTAGTAGTAGTAGTAGTAGTCCAACTATGTTTCCCAAGTTGTGCATGTTCAAACTAGGTAAAAACTGAGGAAGCACTGTTTTTCGGGGAATGCCAAAAGGCTTTGTACTTGTGTAATGCGTGGGGATGCCGGAAGGGGGGGTGGGGGGGGCGTGGGGCGGGCATAATGACGTCAATTCGAAGAGCGGACATGCAAGAACTAGTAGCACTTACAGTATTTTTGGTGCTTTTGCATTTGTGAGGCACGTTTCCACCACCACCTTACCTCTCTTAGGCTCTTGACAGCCCACCCCTCTCATTTAAGGGAACATAGTTGGTAGGGGGGGGGCTAGTAGTAGTAGTAGTAGTAGCAGCAGTAGCAGTAGTAGTAGTAGTAGTAGAAGAAGTAGTATGAAGAGGAGGAGAACAGCTGTTGCTCCTGCTACTGCTGATGCTACTGCTTTTGCTGCTGTTGCAGCCGCTGCTGCTGCTCCTACTTCTGGCACTGCCTCCACCACCGGCCCAGCCATCACTGCCACCTCCACCGCCTAGCCCTGCCGCTGCAGCTGCGGCTGAGCGATTTTCTAAGGTAACTCCTGGCGCTTTGCTCTTGATGTTGGCAAATATCTTGCCAGCATGCTGTATGGCTTGTGACGCGGCAATCTTTTACGTAGCTCTTTAGCCCTGCATGTTTTGCGGAGCGTTGAAAAACAGACAATGGATGCTTCTTGGGTCCTTGGCCCTCAAAACAGGTAGAGGGTTCGCTTGTGACTTCTCCCGGGGTTCGCTTGTGACTTCTCAATTTGGTTCGCTTGTGACTTCTTGTTTTTTGTCGTCGCGAAATGCAGAACTGTCGTG